AAGCTGAAATGATTGAATTCTGTGGACTAGCTACGGAGACATGGATGACAATATCATGGCAAAAACGTGAAAACCACGCTCAATATTTTCAGATGTGCAACAAATTGAAGAATAAAAAGTTGCAACGTAAGAACAGAAAAGAAACGTGATCTTGAAAAAAAGTCATGAGACTCGTTATGTAATCAGGCCTTCTCCCATGAATTGATCATTTTGAAGATTACTTTCAATGTTCGCATAATGCTGATGTCAAGCAAGCATCAACCTCATCAAAAGCATCATTTCGTTATCCATTCTATTCATAGATATCATAGGGTTGATGCAAGTTTATATGATCGTATCTCGTTACTGGCTAAGAAAGCCGAGGTTTGGGCTTGCTTCCGGCTCCGCTTTTACATGTTTCAGCTAGCAGCAAGCCAAGTACAACACCACAATGCGCGTTTGAACAAGGTCGTGAATCTTACATGGGAAACTCCATGATTGGCACTTGATGACCGGGGAGACAAGGAAAAGAGCGGCACAACATCAAGTGATATTATGGCAACATCTCTGATATATTTTTCTTGTTTCCCTGGGTGAGTTACATAACACACAAGGGTTCTCGAACATGTTGTTTGTGTGCAAATACTCATACTCTGATACCACCCATACGAATTTTCATGCGAGGTAGGCCTCCAAAAACTATACACAGCAGGTCCATATTTTATACACTTCGGAAAGAAGCTGTGTTTGTTTGATATTGTTTGCGAACTTCATGCTCGACATTCATTCCGCAAGCAGTCTTTCGGATTCTGATTTCTAAACTGTATGATGTGCTGGAGTAATATCAAACGAGGTGCACAACACGATTGATGTTGGATGGAGCATCAATAATCTGGCTAAAGTGGACAAGGCGGGGTAAATCACTCGTAAGGGGATACAGCGATGCTCGCAAAGGTTCTTTCTCAGTGGTAGTACCACATACATTAGAATGACTTCTAAATGGGATTCCGTGTGCCTAGATCTTATATAATGGATGAAATAAGTGGACTAAACCATCCAACTGTTACATGGTACTACAGATTGATTACTCCAATATCTGCCTATGTCTTCAGGTAAGAGAATTCGAACCTTGACTATGCACTACTTCTCCGCACTTGGGGATCTAGGTGCGTCTACCGCATATCGCATCGGTACTTGGGATGACTATTCCTACAGTTGGCAAGGTCTGCATCCCTCCAACCACTACTATGTAGACCTTTTGCTTCTACAATTCCCTTTTGCCGATATCATAAGATTTTCATAGTGAATCTGATAACTTATTGTTATACTTTCAAGGGTGCAAGGGACGTGCGATAGTATTTCACGTCCGTCATTGGTCTTTCCGTCTACCGTTCTGGAAGCTTAAACACCCGGACGAAGAAGATCGTGCGTAAGTGTTGCTTGTTTCACATCATCTTTATTTTTGTTCTGGCCAATGATGACTTTCTTTTTTTTACTAGCTTGTGGTTGAAGAACATGTGTTGATTTGTTCGAGAATTCCAAAGAACGAATGGTGTCAAACTTCATCTCTCATCGCATCGTATCTTCGCGGCACGGTTTCAATAGATTGGACCCATTAAAGTCAGACGCGCAAGGGTTCTTTGTTCCCCAATTAGTTTACCTCTCAATCAGGCAGTCATGTCCTTAGAGAATCCTAGTTTAGCTACCAAATCTTCAATTTTGGCCACTACAGTAATCCTAATCGAGATTGCAGCGTCTTTCGTAACCCCAGCGTTTGTTTTGAGTATGCAATTTATTATCGATCTATTTTTGCTTACCTGGCGGATCGCTTGAACGACAGGTGACAAGTTTCAAGGAGAATCTATGTTCCTGTGTCATGTTCAAAGTGTGTACGATTAATATGAATATGAATAATTTTTATAATCGATGGACATATTAATATTCCTTCCAGCTGTCATGTTCTCCTAAAAGAACGAAGACATCCAAACCAACTTTTAATATACGTCAATTTGTGTGAAAAACTTCTTCCATAATGACTTCTCTTGCAAACTTTCTCCAAGCTGGACGATGGAGACCGATATTGGCTTTTGTAATTCTCTTAATATGTCTCTTACAATTTCATCTCTCAACTACCCTCCCACAATCATCGCTGCGTCGTCGAGCATTACATGGTACATCAGCAACAATCCCATGCTGAAAGATTTTTATTCTAACTAGTACAGCAGATAATTATATTGAAGAACGAGGCTTTTTAGAGGCAATAAGCAGTGCTGCTGAAAAACTTACCGGTGGAGGAAAGGGTGGAGGCGCTTTATCGACAATAGGAGAGTTGTTCTCCGGAAACATATCAGGGATTGTTAGTGGATTAGCAGCAGACATAGCTGTGCCTGCAGGATTTCTGGGAAATGGCCTCGCCCTGGGTGTTATTGCCGGAATGATGAATACGTCCGTACCAACTACGAACGCCACCGGATTTAACTTGGCAGCGCAAAATCTTGGTTCCGGACTTACAAAGAGCTTAGTTGGATCCATTGCAGTCGCACCAGCTGGCACCGATATGAAAGCAGCAGAAGCTGCAGCCAATGATACAATGACCATGATGATAGGAGCTGGAACAATAAATGGAGCCATTCTTGCTCTCGCACAAGGTTTAGGAAGTGGAGCTTCCCAAGCATTAAATTTTACAGCACCATCTCAGAAGGCTGCATTCAACACGAGTGGTATCAATGGCGCAGCTGGAAATCTAGGCCAGGGTCTCACATCAACATTTCTTTCGGGTATTAATACTACCAGTCTTTTCTCAAACACAATGTCTGGTGGTGTCAGTATAAACGACTTGATACAGGGAAATGGCACTATTCTTGGAAGTTCTCTAAGCCAACTCGCCGCCGGTGCCGGCAATGGTCTCGGACAGGGCACAGCTATTGGTCTCGGACTTCAGGATGCAGCTACAATGGAAACATCTCCCAATGGATCTGCTGGAGCCGTGCAATCTTTTACTATGGGACTTACATCCAGCTTTTTGCAAAATGACACATTGTCGAAATTAATGACTTCATTAATGGGGTCAGGGGATCTTTCAAATGCTATGGGCATGGGTGTAACGGAAGCAGATATGACTTCGGGTTCCTCTTCTTCGCCTTCTTTCCTCGCCAATATGAACATCGCTGCGGTAGCACAAGGCTTTGCAGTAGGACTTCTTGACGGAGCTGGAAATACTCTGGCCGGAATGTCTACACCTCCAATGCAAACACTGATGTTTAATGATTCAGTTGGTGGAGCAGCGACGGGATTCGGACTGGGTCTAGGTGCACAGGGTACTATACTTGTGAAGCAAGTCCTCGCAAATCCATCCATCATCTCAAATCTCACCAAGTCATCGACTGCAAAACGTCATCTTCTTCAGAGCCGCGCCATGATTCCACCTTCCAGCATATCAATCATTCAACGTCGCGAATCGAGCTCCTCTTCGGGCGACAATTCTTTCATCGACGCTCTTAATGCTACAACTCTCGATCCTATTCTACAGATGGGAATTGACACTATTGGCTGTGCAGGTGTAGGTGGACTCTTTTCAATTGGTTTCGGAATTCTCACAACGGGAACTATCAATACCGATCAATTGAAGAGCGTGCCCGAAATGAATAACGACATTACGAATAATCAAACCTTCATCCTCGAAAATGGGGGCAACACATATATCATTAATCCCGCCACAATGGACATCCAAATTAATGGTATACCAATCGAGAGAGCAACTATATTGATTGTTTTGCATAGTAAGTTTTTTCCCCCTCACTTCAAGTATCATATTAGAAACAGCCAAACTAACACCCTCTCAGTCGTTTTCGCAATCCTCACATACTTCATCCTCGCACCAACATACATTTTAGTACACAGCACCAAACGTGTAACCACCCTCTCCTCGCTCCCCTCTCCATTCCCCGCCTTCAAATCGCCCCTCTTCACCACCTTCATCCCCGCCCTCCTCTACATCCTCTCCCCCATCCTCATCATCTTCACCGTCATCCTCGGTTTCGTCATCAAAGGCTCTTCATCCGCATCCCTCTCCGCCCACGGAATCATCGGTCTCATCCTCCTCGTCCCTACATTCCTCACCTTCGCCACATCCGCCTCCGCCATCCAGCGCAAGAATCCCGGTCTGAAAACCCTCTACAAATTCAGCTTCGCTACAACCATGATCGTAGCGGTGTTGGTGCTCTTCTCCGGATTTGTCGATCTGACGAATTATACTTTCTGCGCAGTGCAGGCATTGCCGATCGTGGTGTGGATTGTGCTTGGAGGCATCCTATTAGGGCCAATGGGGTTAGCGGGGGGAGTGGTGGGCATGGAGGGCTTACTTTCGAGACAGGGCGGGAAGAAAGGTGTTGAGTTGAGACCGGATATGCGAAAGGGGGATGAGAAGTCAGGGAGCTATTTTGATGATGATGATGAGAGAGGAAGGGTTTCGGGAGGAAAGGTATAATTCAATTGTGCGAGGAGTTGAAGCGAATTGATTTTATTGTATGGTTATGATAGGATACCCGGATTGGGCTGCCAGTTCAATTGCTTTTCTTTTGATTTGTATTCAAAACGAAGATTCTTGTATTATTATTACTATTATTATTAGGTGAGTTACTAGTTTCTAGATATTTCTAATGCAATCGTCTATCAGGCATAGACTTTCAAAGATTATAAAAATATTGCATAAAATTGGAGCGAACGCGTTAATCACAGAATGATATGCAATCAATCGAAGAGAAAGACTCTATAGTTGAGACTATGTATAATTATGTACAAAATTCTAACAGTATATGTATATAATACGTTTCCATCAATCATAAATGCCCAATTATCCAACCCGTCCCAAAGCGCATATTTCCGTAATCAATATCGTATGGGTATCATCCGAACCTTAGTCTAAAATGCAAATTCCAACTCTGGAATGCAGGCCAAGGTCCAAGCACGCCATGCAATAAATGACTTTTCCCATAAAAAAGAATCTCTGTCCTGCAGTTTTCTCAAGAAAGAGCTTTCTCTCCCTCTCCATTTGCCTGTACAACCGGCACTCCAGCCTCTACATCTGTCGCTTTCTTCGCCTGCTTAGCTTCGAGTCTTAATTTCTCCTGTTCAACCAATCCCACTTTCGTGGTCTCGTGTTCTTTACTGAGCACATGTTGACCAATAGCAAAACTAATTGCCAAACCCAGCGCTGCGAATGCTACGTATATGATCCACTATATTCCAGTTAGCATTTCTCATTACTTGATAGGAGCCTCTCGTTGAATGGCTCTCGGAAGATAACTTACCATAATCCTCAAACTTCCCCAATAAGCATCCCTCGCAACTTCTCTTCCAGGAGCTGGTAAACCTTTGACAATGTCCACACTGGCACCCGCACTTCCACCACTCAATTCCGATGCCACACTGCTTCCCAGAGCTTTAATCAATTCCGCACTCCTTTTCTCCATTTCATTTTGAAATACTACACTTCCAACCACCACACTGATACTCGTGCTTAGATTTCTAGTAAATCCAAATGTGGCGGTTGCGGTCGCGATATCTGCTTTCTTGACCAAGGTTTGTAGAGCGATAAGTGGAGATTGGAAGTTAGGTCCTACACCAATACCGGCGACGATTTGGTAAATGATGATTTTAGACCAAGTAGCCTTGCGAGGAAGATTGATGAATAGACCGAATCCGAGTGTCATGACCACGAGACCGAAATAGATGGGTGGGAGGTATTTGCCTGTTTTCTTAATGAACACACCAGTTATCGCGGACGTCAAAGATAGAGAGAGAGCGAATGGTAGTAAATAGACACCGGAAAGTAGAGGGGTAGCGCCAAGAACAGCTTGGAAGTAAAGCGGGAGATAGTAAGAAGCTGAAATGAAGACGAATCCATGACAGAAACAGACGCCCAAAGCCGCGACATTAGATGCATGTTTGAAGAGTCTAAGAGGCATAACTGGATATCGAGCGAATTTCCATTCGTTGAGCACGAAAAGACCGGCAACAACGATTCCGAAGATGATCAGACAGATGACCGTAGCTGAGTCCCATGGTTTCGTGACACCTCCGAATTCCAGGCCAAGGAGGACCATAAGTGTACCACCGATAATCAGTAAACTTCCGAACCAATCTACAGCTTTTAATCCATCCCAGACGGGTGTTTTTGGATTGTCGAGATGAAGGTAAAAGAAAAGTGCGATTGCGACTGTTCCCGTAATCGGTAACTGTTCATTTCCAGTCAGTATTCGAATTCCTTGAAAAATCTACCACAGGAGAACATTGAAATTCAGTGTAAAAACTCACATTAATATAAAAACACCATCTCCAACTAACTTTCTGGGTAAATACACCTCCCAGCAGAGGACCAATCGCACTAGCAAAAGCCCAAGTCATTCCAATTAATCCAAAGTATGCACCCCTCTTCCTCATGCTGAACAAATCGCTAATGCAGATATTGACCAAAATAATCAATCCTCCACCGCCAATTCCCTGGATTGCTCGCGCCACAATCAACATCCCAATACTAACACTCGTTGCTGCCAATAAACTCCCAATGAAGAATACTCCAGCCGCTATTAACAAAATCGGTTTCCGTCCCCATATATCTGAAAATTTACCCCAGGAAGGTGTAGAAGCCGCATTCGCCAATAAATAGGCGGAACCGATCCAAGTATATCCAGCGTTTGAATGGAAATGTTCGGAGATAGTAGGGAGAGCAGTGGTAATAATCGAGACATCGAGAGCGGCGAGGAAAACCGATGCGCAGAGTGACAGCATGATAATAGTCGTTTGCAATTTCGTGCGCGAAGCCTCTGGATCTTGGGGAGAGGGCCCAGGAGGAGCCGCAGCATTGGGAGTGGTGGTAACATCGACGCTACTTTGATTTGAGGTATGATTTTCGGAGTCAATGACTTCCTTTTCGCTATCTTCTGGAGTTGCGACGGTCGATGCGCGGGAATCGGGTGAGGGTTGATGGGTAGGGGATTGTGTGGGTATTTCTTGCGCTTTAACTGTTCGATCAACAGCGTTCGTCTCGGTTGAAGTAGCACCTGCCATTTTGGCGCTGTCGGACGTGTACTATGTTATGTATTCAACCAAGTCCTCGGATACTTTTGTAAACTTCTATTGGTGTCGTCCAATTTCTTAGCCAATTCGATGATCTGATATTAACTCTCGTCAAGCTTCTATGTATTAAGCGTTGTAAAAGAAGAGACGAGAATAGGGGATTTCTGTTGTTGTATCTTAATTATGATTATTTCGCCGTCCAGTGCCTGCAGAGTCAAACGACGTAAATGGAAAGCAGGATACATCAATCATTACTATATATATACTTCGTAAACAATCTGCAAACATTAATAGACTAATCATTAGCTAGTTAGACACAGTAATAGACCAACCAATTTATTAGTCGTTAGCACGATTCCACCCGCCATCAAAACTACTCCGATGGTAGAATAATGCGGAGTTCCACTCTGAATCCTCCTCAGAAATGGAATTATGGTGGACCCTCGTCATAGATTCTAGATCTCTTTTGTTTTTGAAGGAATGAGGGTTTGATTGGTAGATAAGCACATTTTTCTCCAGTTATTATGTCAGTGACATTCAAAAGGGCGCTTCTATCGGACTTCGCTGCTTATCCTGTGCCGATGTTTAATTCACCGTGGATGAGCTCCCAATAAGTTCTTCAATTTGGGACGTTTTTCCTTGTCAGTTTTTCGTCTGATGAGGTGTAGTGATTTCGGTGTCCGATGTATCTGTACAATTGGCTATGGATTGGATATTTGCTTGCAACTACATTATTGGCCTGTCAAAGGCGAAAAATTGAATATAGAGACACAATTAGTTTCAAGAATCACGCCCGGAGTTAGAACTTTTGAGTATTCGGTCCCGACGTTTGGCGGAGTTAAGAATGTAAAATGAACTCTTTGTACCAGAACTTCGAGGGTTCGGTCCCGAATTAAGGAGTTAAGGAGAGAGTGGTATATCCGTTATAGTTCACGTCCACCCTCCGCCGTTGGAGCTTGTCGAATTCCTGCTTATCTAGGCGGAGTGGGATTGGCAAATGTTCCAGATGAAAAAGCAACTTTCCAACGATCCCCAGATCTTGGCTCTTGGCTTCAGAAAAGCTTTTCTAATCTTGTGCAAGGAAGAAAGATTTGCATCAAGGGAGTGGAGAGCATAGCGAATGCCAAGTGTGTGTTAGCGGAAGATTGTTTCCGGAAAATTAATCTTATCTGAGGTCAAAAGTATTTGTTATTTTCGCGTTGGAATTGACGATATCTATGACTACTAAATGGAGCGAGTTCTTGACCGCAAACTAGATGCAGATAACATCGTGTTCCGGGTTCTTAACAACTGCCGAGATAATTCTAATACCCCAACAGGATCTAATACCGGTAAGGACCAAGCATGAGGGTGGATTCTCACGAATTCAGGACATTTTTCGCGTAGGGCAGGGAAATTTACCAAATAGGCATTTGTGAGGCCATATTAGGATTCATCATACTCCAAAAATTTGGTTTTGATGATGATTTTCAGCCCTTGAAATTGGAACTTCAACCAAGTTGTCCCTAGTATGAAAAAATAAAGGTTAAATGCTCCAGGGCTTACTCAAGTAGTGCTAACGCCCCTTAGGCAAGTTACCCAGCGTGTTCGACGTCTAAACTGCACAACATATATTCGCGTATACTCATTCCTTCAACTTGAATACCCATGGGGTCAGAGGACAGAATTGGCCATGGTCGGATCACAGATCTTTCATACGAGGTCGTAGTGTCGATCTTCAGGTAGCCTAACAATGTTCATTTCTTCTACCCTCTCTTCTTGTCTGTCGTCATTTATAGACTGCTTATTAACAGTGTTCACGGGTTGGGGGAAAAAATCCCAGGGAAACAGATTCCACCAGCCCTGCTTCGATATGATATTGCCGCGGAGAAGTCCACAGATCTGGGGAGGTGATCCAACATTGAACTGATCGATGCACTGCTCGACAAACTTGACAAAGAGTTAGGGAAATGTCAGTCATCCAAAAGAGTGACGCTTCAAGATACATTTCGTATAGGTCATACACACGACTTTATCCATGGATCGGTGACGGAATTTTCCAGCCATGCGTGGTTGATTTTTGAAACATTTGACGTCCTGCCCTGTGAGGAGTCAGTTCTCTCCCCGAGCGAATATTTTCGATGCTACCGCACGCTAGGTTCCAACTTTTCTCCAATTTATCTCACCCAAATCCCACGAGAAGACAAGGCATCACTACCTCTATCGGTATTCATCATGGAAATTCGAGCAAATTAAATGTGTTGACAATTTCATAAGCAACCCATTGCACAATATTTAGTAACAAAGTAACTCATGTGTCTGGAAAAGCATATCTTTTCACCATGAAATATGTCATTCACGAAATAGCCCGATCACTATCAGACATTCGAAAGGTCCCATCTTGTACTCGCCTGACCACTTGTGATAGTATTTCGTCCTTGAACGGACCATAATTGGGAAGAGCGCCGGGTAAGCTAATGCGCTAAGACATCGAACTCGGAGCGATATTAGATTTGAATGATCGCAGTGTGATCCGACTCTATTCCCCGGGTATCACAAGATCTCGAATCTTTACATCGGCCGAGGAAAGAAAAGTCGTTTGAAAGGTAGACCTGTTATTAAAGTCCATGGTCGAAGCCAAAATTAGAATAACGGCCTATCCTACCGTTCTAGTAAAGAGAGAAATTCGTGAGGAATATGATCGGGGTAAACCGAAGAAAAAGCGCAAACTTTGTTTCAACGAGAGGATGGCGAAGATGATGATGGAGGTCCCATTCCTGGTCGAAATCTCAAAGGAGTGACACTATATATCTGTTTATAATCATTCGACTCATTGCTACCCGTGGACACCGATATAGCTGCCCGAGGATTCATTGAAGTAATCTTCACAAGTCAAACGAAGGAATCGACGACTCTTCAGTCTAGAATTCATAATATCTGTGATATGAACACTTTCTCGTTTGTGATTCTAGCTGTTTTGATTCAAGTGGTAAAGACAAAAATTAATGTGTATGGAATTGAATCTCGAGAGATCAGAGAGAGAGAGAGAGGTGTCACGTGGATTACAGCCACACCACCTTTTGATTTGCCGAATCAGCCACGCCCCTTCATCTTAAGCGTTCACCGAAAATCTCAAATCTTCTTGCAAATCTTCCATGTCAAAGATAAATATCCGACGTCGTCCTATGGATGCATATACGATCCAACATTACTAAGTGCATGCTGGTCTGAATATACACGATTATCATGTGGGATGGACACGACTTGAAAGATTCAAGGCGGGAAAATTGTAACCATGTCAGTGATTTGAAGAGGGAAATTTCAGCTCAATCCAAGAGAACTCACATCCTAGAAAATCATGCGAAGCTATTTCTAACCTTCAAAACACCAACTCTCTAGGTTGTATTCATGATGAAGCAAGAAAATAAGACAACCATACCTGAAGTGACTTTATGAGTTTCGAAATCCTTCGATTTCTCAGTCTGAAACAGCTCAAATCGATTGTCATCAGGCAGGCCCAAACGCTCGACCACCGCCAAGAACATCAAAAATAGCCCCTTCGTCCTAAGTCCGGAGTGTCATCTCAAGTATGAAACTCGGTATGTTAGTAACCGGTAAAAAGTTAGATGGGACGGATCTATTTTCAATGCCTTTTCAAAATTCCACCTATAGCATCCCAATTCACGTTACTTTAAGGTTTAATTCTTGCTCTTTGTTGGCCTAGTGGCTTGAGATCTTATCTGATGAGTGACAAGTGCTCTTCGGACGAGTTTGAAGATGTCAGATTTGATCAATTGATCCTGGCAAGATATGTTACTTCAGATGTACTGGGCGTCTCATTCCCCGCTATTCTGTACATAGACGCCTTTATCGTAGGGATTGATGTCATATCCTAGGAGATCAGATGTATTGTGCCTGTCAAAATAACCTTTGAGATCAGGAAGAGTAAGCAAAAAAAGCGTCGGCATCAAGAACTATAAGATCACCAGATATTTCCTTAATACATTTCTATTTCATTATCATCATCATCATCTTCTTCACCTTCACTACACACATTCATTCTAATACTTTCTACAACAGCTGTGCTGTCTATTGAACTGTTAATACATTCATTCTATATTACAAAATTTATATTACGAGTTTCATTCACTTACTACTACTTACTTCAACTATCCATCCTTTATAACACCCAATCAACCAACCAAACCAATCAAAATGCGTTTCTCCCTCCCAGCTCTTGTCCTCTTCCTCTCTGTCGTTAACGCCTCTCCTCTTCCTAAGAAGGAAAAGGCCGCCGCGGCATCCTCCTCCGCAATTTCATCGGCCACAGCAGCGGCATCCGCCGCTTCCTCAACTGCCGCAGCCACATCGGCAGCATCCAGCTCAAATTCAACGGCTGCAGCCGGAAGTGTTTTGACCTCTTCGGCATACAATGATTTCCAAATCTCCGCGGGAACTGCCGGATCCGCTCAAGATGAAGCCAATGCACTCTTTACCGGTATCGATATGAACAATCTCGCTGCTGTTTCCGCATCTGATCTTAAGATCATTCAAGGAGTTCATGATGCTGCTGAGGATGCTGAAGTTGGTGGATTCAACCCAGCCATTGCGGCCGCTGATGGTGATGCTGCTACTGCTCTTCAGGTATATTTTCCCATCCATTTTCCGTCATATAATTACAGTACATAACAGCAACTAATATAAACTCTAGAACGGCAAAATCAAGAACAAGGTTCTCAAACTCACCGCCGAAGTCCTTGCTCTTCAAATCAAGGTAGCTCAAGGAAAGGCTGGAGATCCCGCACCCGAACAGACAAAGTTGGCCAACAACATTAAGTTGGATACTGCGGCTGCAGGACAAGCCAGTACCCCCGTCAGTTTTGATGCTACGAGCTAGAGGATGTGATAAAAAGGTTAATTGAACATTTGAGGATTTGGGATATAGTGGAAATTGTTCGCGTGGACGTGAACCATGGATACTTTAATACAACGTGTCATTTTACACAGATGTATACAATGGGCCGATCTTGGGTAGATGGTGGTTGGTGGGCACATGGAATTAAAGGGATGGTTATTCATTACTACTTAGTATAATGATAGTAATCACGCTATGAAAATTCTTTACTTTTAAAATTCTTCGGCTTGAGAATGGGATTTGGGAATAGTTTCTTGTAGATCCAAACCATAATATATGACTCTATATCATTCTTTTTGTCTTGATAACATATTTGCGATTGGTCAGATAGATTTTCCTACTGCGGATAATTTGGCACCTCCCAGATTCACACTTGATAAATGTTGAAGATATACACCTCAGACTGAGATATATTAGTGACAGTCATCTTAACTATGAAGAGAAGCATTTAGTAGGGTAGTTCTTGCATCAAACCGCCTCATTTCGAGGTTCGCTTTACTTTCATTGAAGAACATACTCCACCAGGCATACTGGGCGAGTCGTCTTACTATATATAATTTCATATCCATGAAAGTGTACCTCAGTTTGCTGAGTTCACACGGTAATATTGAACAGAAAATCACAGAAGCAAGCCAAATTTTGAAGCTCTTGCCAAAAGGCGGCAGAAGGTATGGATAAACTGGAGGGAGTTCCTTCCTCAACCCATCTAGTCTAGAGGGGTGTAAGAGATCATCTCCCGTTGGACCCTTCGAATAAGGCATAACCCTTCCGATAATCGAAAGAAACAACCTTATGCTAGGTACATGTGGGTTGTCAGAAGAGCTCAGAATCCTGTTAGTGCATGAAATTGCTCTCAAAACTAACATGCGAATTTTGGGATCTCTACCTTTTCTATTTTCTTCAGCGCACGCGTACTCATGCTGCCAGAACCACGCAACTCCGAACTGGATGCACATAACACAGCCTGGCAAACTACAATAGGAATGATTTCGTGGTTGCGGAATTCGAACGCAATTGGCAATTGATTCGTTGTGAGAAATTGTTCGACAACGAGCCAATTCGAACAAGCCGCTGGATAAAAGCAACCATGGTAGCAGGGTTTTCCCAAGTGGGCTCAGCCAGTTACTATTGTCCAAAGCGACGCTTTTGGTGTGATGCTTCAAAAAGCTTGGATGGGAGCTAATAGTGGTCACAGCACCAAATCCAAAGCTGTCTCTTATCCTTCTCCGATTTATGCAGAGGTAATGGATGAGTTCAGATTGAAAGGCGTTGCCAATTATCCTGTTTTCATGTCAACTTGGTCAATATCCCTGTTGATGTATGTCTTTGATGATTGGCGCCAGGATTATCTTACTATTGGGGACTATAATTTCTTTTGCGAATACAACCAAGATCAGGCTGGTGCTCAATTCTTATCACCACTAAGGAAAGAGATGGCAGCAATTTGGGACATGCCAAAACTTTCAGACGAGATCCAAATTCGTAGATCACACATGCTCTGTTCAATGGCTTTCTTTGACCTGAAGCGCAGACACAAATCGGAATTTCTCAATCATGATACAGACGGACGTACTGTCTGGATCCACGAAGATAGAGATATCTGGCGAGATGTCAAAGCTTTAGATTCAGCTGGCTATTCGCATTACTTGTCATATTCCATTGGAGCTAATGGGCGCGACGACATGGTGCTGGCTGGTTTAGTCAATGACTGGATTGATCTCGGACCTGACTTGCGCTACCAGGAGTGCAATCAATCCATTTTTGCGCTCACTCGAGGATCATTGACAATTAAAGACCTGACAAAATGCTATGAACAGACGGTGTGGATGCTAAGCGCGAGTTTTGACTCAGAAGAGCGACGTGTGGTGCGTAATGGCATTGTCGGAACCCGTATCCGACAGCTCACTAACCACCGCCATGAATTGTGACGCTACTACTCTCTGGCCTATGATAACTGCTCAGTTGCGCAGCAATTGGATCTTTACCAAATTGGAAATCTCGCCGATTGCTATGCTTCGGATTTCACGCCGAGGACATTATCTGACGCCAAAGTGATATCTATTCCGCGTCAAGACTATTCACATCACGTCCGGGTAAAGAAAGTCGAACACAAAGGTTCAATTATGCTCCAAACAACAGTTTGTGACGCCGTCAAATCTGAACTGATCCCAGCATCCGTCATCGACTACTAAATTGTTCTTCCACTCCTTCTTCGCACCGGGCAGATAGAGGAAGCCACTTTTCTGAGTTATATGGATCATCACTGTTGTAATCACTTTGCTGATATCATGCGATATGGACACGCTGGTGGATTTAGCCATGCGTATGCATCTGTCATTGCAGCGTTGGTTATGGAAGGATGGTCGCCGGGAATTTACTTCGCTATTGGTATCGGGAGCCTTATTGAGGCTCAGCCTGATCACATTGCCAATGAACGCCCGCATGGATTCGTTCTGTCCAAAGAAACATCTAGTGCTGCGCAGGATATATTCAGAAAATACTTTAGTTTTGATTCACAATATTCTATTTGTTGCAGACGGATTAAACTCAACTGGAGCTTTCTTATAAATCATTCAAAATTCAATCAATATCAACCACGTAGCGAATTCACGGCAAATCTGATTACAAATCCTTTTAGTTTCATTCTTCAATTTGATCATACTAGGTGTACGAAGTATATGCTAGCAGAGCTGATATGATTTTGCTGTTTCTAGGTTGTTTCCAGCCTGACTTCTTCGTCGAAGAAGTTCAGCCACTTCAAGCATATCACTAATTATCGGCCCATCTATCGCGCTTAACAAGCACCTTAACGGTCGATCTATTACTCGCATTTGCACGATCTACCCACTCCATAGTTCTAGCGTCTGTCTCATAGAGCTCCAATTCGAACCGGGAAATGAAAAGCGCAAGTGCTATATGTATTTCTTCAATCGCAAGACTAAATATTCAGTTAGCAAGCTGATCGACTCTGTCATTCTGGAAGAGAAAAGTGACTTACTTCTTGCCAAGACAACCTCTTGAACCTTTGCTAAATGGAGCGAAATACTTTTCTAATACTTTCTCTTCGTCCCTAACCCATCGTTCGGGGTCGAATTTTTCGGGCGAAGGAAAGATAGACGCGTTGTGATGAAGTGATAAAAGGGTTTGTGTGATGGCTGTCTATACGTTTTTCGCGCGTGTTAATAGTCTTTCCACTCTGGCTATTAGGAAAAGTGTATACGTACACCTGCTGGTATGAAATGTCCATCTATAACTACCCCCCCATCGGGTACAATACGCGGAAGAAAACCTGGCACCAAAGTATGAACACGCATACTTTCCTTGATAACTGCCGTCTGTTTTAATATTTTAGCAAAACTCCTGCATCAAAATTCTCATCTGATGTATTTTCGCGCAGGTGCGAACGAATTACTTACCAGATATGGTAATCTTTGAACTCGGCTGCAATCAAAAGTTTCTTGCGATGTAATACCGTTAGCAGTTAGTTCGTCTAGCAATTTAGAAGAAACGGATGGTGAAGAGAGAATATAGTATAAAGCATTTGCAATTGTAGCTCCTGTAGTGTCAGTCCCTGCAAGTACGAATAAGAACGCCTCGTCTGACAAGTCTGGTATGGAAACTTCGGAACGCGGTTCATCGGGAGTTGAAGCGAGAAGAAGATCGAAGAAGGTATTTGACGAGTCATCTTTGGTGATTTCGCGTAATTTCTGTCGTGCAACAGCCATTGTGGCCCATTTTGTGCATTTCTAAGAAAAAACATGATGAGTATGAATAGATATGAAGAACACTGTATAGGAAGTAAAGGCATGAAAAAGAAAGTGTAGTGTATTCACATCTCTAATATCTTTAAATCCGGGAACTGTCTTCTGGGCTAGCGAATCAGGTAGGTTTGTTGCCAACCACGTAACGACCGGGAATGCTTTCACTGAGACGACAAAATCAAGGTTAGAGAAAAGACCCAAGAGAGACATCGACTGAACGTGAGCAGGCAGAGAAGTGGGTGAGAAATCTTACATATCCAAAAATTGTTCAAGAAGGCATCCATGCTTGCCAATAATTCCGGTTGCTCTTCCTGTGAGCTTAAGAGATTTTGACGTTTGTCAAAAAGTATTTTAAATATTACTTCCGCCTGTTACTCAAGTCTTAGCATGATGATTCGTGTGAGAAGAGGGGGAAAATAATATTGAACTATAATAGCAGTGACTAACGGAAATGGAGCGACAGAGTCGATGCATGTCAATAGGTCTTTTCTCTTCTCCACGCTTAATCATGACGTTGACCGCTTCCTGAGTGATTGCGAGAATACCTGGTGCCATCGAATCTGCAGCTTTTGACGAGAATATAGATCTGACTTTTTGTCGCCGTAGACGATGTTCGTGTGGGTCTAGTATGGAAAGAAGAGACTCGGACAGGCTTATCTGCTTATAAAAATCTGGGTCCTTTCGATAAGTTGTTCTGTTGTTGAACATCCTATAATGACTCAATATCCACAGTTCGATGTTGTTTACCTCAGGTGCTTACTGTGAATAAAATTCCGGATCATTGACATGGACATGATTGGGAGCAATTCGGACGACCGAAGAATCTGAGGGTGCTATTTAGCCAAACGGGAGCCTTGAGTAGAAAAGATAGACTGACTGTATTCTTTGTGCATTTTATCAAAAGTCTTGATATATGTTCCATCTCGAATTGCGTTGTAATAAAATTCATACCAGGATGTTGCGGCAGCTAGCTTTGGTCCTGGAATTTTGGACAGCGGATGGAAGTATAGACGCTGAAAGGCACAGCATAGAGAAGTAAGAACCGCAGAGATTACAATTATTTGTACTGATAGAGGAATATGTGATGAAGTTGAATACCTCCACTGAGAATCCTTAGTAGTATCCATGCTTTGAAGTTGTGCGAATGGTAATGAAAACGAAGTATTTCTGTTCGAACAAAGAGAATCAATGATACTTATACGTCCCGACATGTTACATTGTATCGTATTGAAGGTTCGCAGATCTTTCTGGGTCTGTACAAGATTGTTCAGTTGTTGGAGTACGGATGCCGAGCACCATATCACAACGCATCATGTGGGTGACAATTAAATTAGCTTTTGGACGAATCTTTGATACTTATCTCGCATGTAAACCGCATTAATGGCTCTTATCCTAGTACTGTCCAGTAATAAATCTAGTTTCTCGATCAAGGCAGATTGTATTCATAAGCGAAAAATGAAGGGGCAGCATGAACGACCCTGCTTTGTGTCCAGATCCAGAATGATCTGCTCTCCATAACCGCCGCTTAATTTTCTTCAGCCAAGGAAAATTTTTGATAGGATATTTACCTAGGAGAGTTGCAATGAATAAACCAGGGAAAAAGATTTTGTGGGTATTTATGAGTTGAGACAATAAGTTGCACCTTCCACATTCAATCCTCTTTGCATGCCAACGAAGTGGGGTAGATGACAACTCTTTTGCATTGCCGTCGTATTCCAAAAGTCAAATCAAACTGCCGAACATTTCCCTTAAACCCTATCTCCTTATGCACCTTCACTCTATCCTCAACTTTGTCTTGTAACACGATGGCGTGAGTGACAATATTTTCTACAGAAAGTACAAAAATACCATGTTCGGGGGCACACAACTTGAGCTGTATCTTGGATCTATGTTTGCTTTTCTCGATGAATCTTCATTGATGAACGAGAGACTCATGTCTTAACAAACCAATAAGCACGCTTGCCGTTCAATATTATACGGACCTTCAAACACTTTATATACCATACACTTCTGAATCCGTCAGACCACTTGAGAAAAACTTTTCCCGAAATCTTCTCTATAGTTTACACACAAAAAACTTTCTGTTGTAAACTTTAAAATATACAAACTCTTGTGTAAAATGGAAACGTGTTCAAAGTAAGGTGATAAAGTACTAGCAGTAATGACCTCTCTCTGCAACAGCTCATCCCGTTTCCTCATACTTCTTTATTCTTCGTATAATCTCCTCCACATCCTTCCAAATCCTCTCTCTGTTTTGTAGCCCTTTCAATCTTCCCTCCTTGAATCCTTTAGTAATTCCCAAATACAACTGATACCAATCTAATTTCTTCGTATTAACCCCATCCTCAAACCCCGTCTTCAACGCTCCCTCAATTTTCTCATCAAACACGGGCTCAGCAGCTTTCCATTCATCGTACAGCTCGGGAAGTTCTTCCCAAATAAGTGAACGCAATGCCACTAACTGCTCATTATGCTCTGTTCGTCTTTTTTCACGAGACTTGAGGTCCGCCCCAGAAACTGTAGCCCAGAAAGATGGAGGTGTGAAATCGTATATTTCCCACAACCAAGGCATTTCAGAAACAACAAGTTTATAAAAGAACCCCTGAGAAAGTTGAGTAAAAGCCCTGGATACGAGACGAATGGAGGCAATATCTTTAGATAGAAGATACAATATAATCTCATCTTGAAGTTCTTGAGACAGCTTGAGGAATGGATCCCGATAATCATTACGTGGGGACCGTCGGGGTCGGGGTTTCGAAGGGCGGATAGGGAAGGCTGGCGAGCTGAGGGAGAAATGTGAATTTGTGGTTATTGCTGATTGAAAGACAGAGCGCAAAGCTGGTATGAAGACAGGATTTGCGGCGAGCCATTCTGTGCCGAGACTATGGTTCCACCATTGTTCACTGCAGTGACGCACAGCGCGATCGCGAGGAAAATTAGTGTCATATCTGTAGCAGGACTCTTTATCGCGCCACTTCATTAAATCTTGAATAGAAGTCTGATTGAAACTTAGCCGTGATGCATGTTTATAGACCTCGAGACAAGTTGGATGAAATGGCATTGCCACTTCCTGAGTATTTGGAGGCACCTGTAGATCATGACATCAGTTTTCAAAACCTATATTCTTAAGATAACGGTGTGTGAATAGAATATTCAATATTCTCGGCTGCAGTCTGACCATGAGAACATGACTAATTCTTAGAATTGATGGAAGAATTTCCTTTGTTTGAGATTATGAAGAATTGAAAAGACCTACTTGCCAAATCATAGTATCTGCGAGCACATCGCTATCTAGTCCATGGCGGGCTGGCGCTAATACGACGTAACCCATGTCCCGTGAAGGTACATGGTCACCAAGACCGGAAAGAAAGACATCCCCCTCGAGTTCAAAGTCTTCGTCATCAGGGCTAGGACTCCAGTCATGATCCTTGTAAACGAGACATTGTGCCGTGGTACACCCTCTCATTTCTTGAGCAGTGATGAGATTGCCATTGTATGCTTTGCTTCCTGAGCATTTGGGGCCTGGTAGATGTGTAAATTTATTCTCCCACTGCACACTTTGTGCTTCTTCATTAGTCATCATGATCTTCTCGACTCTTGGAGGATTTGGTAACTTGTGTTGATCGAATTTCGACAACCATTCGTGATATAGCTTTGTTTCCTCATCTGAGTCGAGATTACCATCACCGTCGTAGTCATCAACTTCCATTTCACTGCCTATTTGGGCGTCTTGGCGATCTTCTATTGTGGAAGATGCTTCCAAAACATGGTCTTTGGAGGAACCCCCATCCGAGTCTGAATCATACTCCAAAGGCTCATCATCCGATGCACTTTCATAAGAATACGACAAATTGTCATCCTCAACCATGGGTGTGTTATCTTCATAGAAAGGTAGATTATTTTGCATATTGTGCTCTCCATTCTGTTCTGGAATCAATGCTGTACGATAGAACAAACATCCATACTCAGTACCACAATTTTCCTCCCCCGCCTTGTAACCTCCATCCGGATTATACCAGGAAGCACTTTCGTCATCAATTTCATCTGGAGTCCGATCTCGTCCTATGTTAAAGCTAACACCACAGATTTGACATGGAATCTCCGAGTAACCTGAAGACGATTTGGTCAATATTTTGGAAGTAGTATGCGTAGGTAGTTCTCGTCAAACTTACCCATCTTAAATAATGAAATTGAGTGAAATTTCGAGACACTTCTCAACATGCGATAAATTACTGACAAAATCTCTGTATTTAAAAAACTGGAAACAAAAAGAAAGTGACAAGAAAATACTTACCCAGTGGTTGCGAATAAGCTTATTTAAATAAGCTTTAGCAACCCCGTATTCCGGGTCGATTAAAAATCCACTCCAGGCTAACCGATTTCCCCACTATGTGCATATCCCTACTACGTGCACAACTTTGAAAATATCAATATTATAGCTTCAAACATCAATGATATGTTTTTAGAGGCTTGTATAGAACTTGCATTAGATTATTTGAAAAGAATTCAAGCTCCTAAATACATCCAGATAGCTAATTTCTTTAAAATTAATCGATCCACACTCTTCCGGCAATATAGAGATAAAACTATCTTAAGAAAACAGTTCCTTTTTGATACGAAACAAGCGCTTTCTAATAATCAGAAGAAGATTTTAGTTAATCAAATCAATAAGCTAACATAGAGATCTATCCCTTCTATAAACTATATAATCAGAAATCTTGCAGAAGAGATTTTAGATAAAAAGGTAGGAAAGAATTAGATTAGCAATTTTGTCAAGAGGCATTCAATACATCTTAAAAGTCGATATCTCCGTTGTATTAATAATTTGCGTGTGAAAGCCAATAATATTGTTATATTTGATTACTTTTATAATCTGGTTTGAGCTATTTTCTATTATTATTGATCTTTATTACCTAAAACACTCTTATTAATACCCCTCTTTTTTTAATTTAATTAATAAAAGTAACTATAAATACAATATACAACTAAGAGATATATATAATTGGAATGAGAAGGGCTTTATAATTGGTATAGAAAGGATTATAAAGAGGATAATGAGTACTAGCATCTATAATAAAGGCAGAATAACAAAGCTAAATAAGATGAATCAAGAGAGTGTTACGGGAGCTGCCTCTAGGGTCACGTGGAAGTGGCTAGAGATCTTTCGAGGTGGTTTAGACTAAACTTCAAATAGGAATTCAATAAGATTATAACTAGTTGCAATTCTTATAATTATAATAATGAAATTAATAATTTGTCACGGCGCCAACTACATAATCTGTAGTTGTCTTCGTGCCTCAGGCATAGCATATTAGTGTGCCCTATTTTCTATAAGTAGGGCTTCATTCTTTTATAGCTTTTTTATTCTTATAATATAATATAAGTCTTTATCTGTACCTTAATAATTTGTATCATTTTCAAATAAACTATTACAACTTTATTTCTTATTTTATTTCCAAAACCCTACCAACGCTTTGTCCCGATCGCACTGATCGCATTCATTGTTGATTATTATATACCCTGCTACCAATATTTTGAACTTTAAAAAGTGCTGAAGATAGATAAACAAGCATTTACATTAGAAACGCTTATATTTGGTTTATCTTTGTAATTTCTTTTTTTGAATTACGTTTTCAATTTTGCTGAAGCCGATATCTCTCCCTTTATAGATTTATTCAATGATCCAAATGCTACACACTTCACTACCGCTTAAGTTGTATTTGAATCGATCGAATCGATTACAGATTCATTATAAATCTAAGCTGCTACTGTTTAGACCTAAGCTATTGATATTCAATTAAAGATTATCGAATTAAAAAAATACAATTAAGATATTAAAATTGTTGTTTGTAATAATTTGCAAGTTTTATTTTGTTATAAGTATTTTGTTATTCTTGAAAAATTTAGTAATAATAAACAAGATATTGTAAAGTGTTAAAATCAGTATATGACTTTTTGTAATATAATTAATCGCTACTTGACTGTGGATTACAAAAATGAATCAGAGTTTCAGAAAATCATATTTCTTGCTAACCTACTTTTTGATTTTGCTTATACGAATAATCAGATACACTTTAATATAATTATAATAACATACATAATTCCAATCTTTAGCCTTCTGAATAGC